CGAGGTATCATGAAGACATTTCTCTCCTGATTCCCCTCTTAATGACTGCCAACTACTACTAATTCCCAGACCAAAAAATGTGCATTTCTATAGAGTTACAGTTGAGAGCATGTCTTAGTAACTTAAGGGTAAAAAAAAAACATTACAGGGATGTTGTCATCACCCAAAAGCCAAGCATTACAAACGCAAGAACTGCATAATTAAGGTTACACTTAAAAGAAATCCAGACATAGTAAGGTGAGAAATGCACAATTAAGATACCCAAACAAACTTAACTCTGCCCTGTACTGATGTCATGCAATAACCATACAGTTATGATTAAGCTATTGTAGTATTTGTGGTCTCATATTAGTTCCAATTGATTTTAGACATATTAGAGTTTTTCATATTTTTCCCCTTCCTGTTATCACAACAAGGCATAGTTAAGGTTGTCTAAGTACTATAACTGTGCATTTCTTACCTTAACATGTTTAGATTTCTTTTAAGTGTAACCTTAATTATGTATGTTCCTAGATTTGTAATCATCCCCAGATCAAGCATTACAACAGGCCTGTAATGCTTTTTACCTGTTGGTTTCTGATACATACTCTCAACTTTAACTCTATCTTAACATTGATTTTTTTTGTATGGTCATTTTCTTATTTTTAAGAAATTATTAAACATTTCATATATGAAAACTAAACAGGAAACCCAAAAAGAATGCTCAGAGAGAACCCATGCCCTGAGACTCAATGTTGACGCAGTTTATCATCTTACCCTGGACTCCTGCCCCAGTTACCACCCCATCAGTGCTGCCTCTGTGCACAGAGGAGCTGAGATTGCAGTACTGCAGATAGGAAGCTGTTCAAGTTCTGATGCCCAAACTAGCATGCAGACATTAAATCTTTAAAGAACAGTGACAGCTGAACCAAGTAAGCTACCAGTGAGGACTCCTGACACATGCATCCAGTCTCCCTCATACTGATGACTCATTACAACCAATAGAATTGTTCCATGCAAATTTACAGCAGAGGAAGGGTGATGATTGGTTGAGTTACCTCTAGAGTCACAATGGCCCCCCTTAAGAGTTACCTGAGCTGTTGACCTGCACCTGTCTGCAGCCTATATATTCATAAGTTATTAACAGTTGCATCTAATTGTTATCTTAATTGCAATTTAATTTCCTCAGATACAGCCTATGCAAAAGCTTCCAATTAATTCTAACAATATGGAAAGTTTGAAGTGCCTGTGTTATTTCATTATTAAGATAATTCAGCAGAAAGAAAAGATTGACATGAGCTGTGAAATTTCTTAAAGGACCTAGTTTTTAATGAATTTTAACTCAACCGAATTAACAGATTAATTTGTAAATTCTCAGAAAATTCATTCTACACTCAAAGAGAAAACACTGTAAATATGGGGAGGATATGTTGTATTGTTCATATGAAAAAGAAGTTGAGTCCCTGCTTTAAGTACTAAATATACCTCTACCTTAACTACGGTGTAATAACTGCACTTCCATACTAACTAACTAACATTGTTTCACTGGGTACATTTTTATAACACAAGTATTTCCACATTTTTCACATTCAAAGATCTCTGCAAAGTAGATAAATGACAAGGCCCTATTTGCTTGTTATAGAAGAGTGGAGAGGCTAATGTTAGATGATTGTAGAGGGAGCACTGAATTTTTTTCAAGCCACCATATTTACCTTGAAGAAAAGTTTACATACAGATGCTATTGCTGAAGTGGCAGGCCACACTGGTGTCTAGCTGGCTTTACTTTCAGATCAGCTGGTATCTTCTCTCCTATGTCTTAATGTGCAGTTTGCTTTAATCTCCTCTTCAGCTCTTGGGAGAGGAGTATTCCAGCATCCTGCATCAATGTTTTATTTGTTATGGAGGGACTCTCATTCAGATGAGTTTCTGCTATACTACCTTGCACCTCATCCATGTTGTTTCTGCCGACAGTCATGTTCCAGTGTCATGTGGACACTGCTGCTGACAGCGCTTTTCCAATAATGTGGCAGTAGGTCATGATGTCTCTGTTCCTCTACAGTTCCTGAGAGATAAATTGAAGCACCCCTACTTGTGATCCTATCGCAAGATTGGCAAGCATTTTCCTAAGCAAGCCTGATCAATTCTACTGCTCTTTATGCATGATCCTCACTCAAGTCCTACTCTCTGGTAGAAGCAATTAGTCAGAGGGCCTTCACTGCTGTCTTGCTTTTGGTAAGAGAGTTCTATCGTACTTTTCAAACAATGAACATTACACACAACGAATCATAACTTAAGGCAATCAGCAACAAAGCCATGTCTATATAGCTTGTATGTTGCATTTAAATTAGTTTTTGAGAAAAAACAAACCAAACCAAACCAAAAACAATAGTTGGAGAACAATGCGCTCCCCCTCCTCCCCAAGGCTCCCAGGAACCAGGTAATTCAGATAACAGGAATAGGATAGGGATTTTTTACCAGGATGCCAGGTCTAAATTTGGTCTAATCATTAGTGAAGGAAAGTTATTACCACTGAATGACTGCTCAGTAGACTTTATGAACTGAGTTGACGATTTCATGAAATGATGATTTGATGAAGTTCTGTGTGTCCATCTCTCTCTCTCTCTCTCACATACACACACACAAAATCAAGCCCTCATCACTGCAATTCTTATTTGTAGTCTCAGCAGCAAGACCAAGGACTGGCAGAGTGGGAGACTGAAGTGCCTTTGCATCTATAAGGAGAGGACACTGCTAGGCTCTAGTGCTGTCAACCCAGCACCTTTTATAAACACAACAATCACTTAATGTATATTTTAAGTACACATTTTCCATTTCTGCTGCTCAGAAGCATCTTACTTCTCAGGGCTGGGACTGTGTCTTCCTGTATATATAGATGGTGCCTTGCGCATTTGGGTGCTGATGAAATTCAAATAAATAATTATTAGCAATAATAATATCTTAGGTAACAATGTTTCTTACAAACCTCAAACAATGGATTATTCCCATTCATTTACTTACATAGATGTCAATTTTTCATGATGACACTAATTATGTATCTTATAATGTGGCTGATGACACTAGCTTCCATTGATGTGAATAAGGAATTAACTTCCTTTTAAAAACTTGTAAAAATAGACAGTAGTATGCATTCATTTTGCAGAGTTATTTATTATTTCTCTATAAAACCTATCAACAGCTAATAAATTTACCTACTTATATTTTCCAGCTTTTTAAAAATAATGCAATCTATTATTGCATTTGGGATTTCATCCATTTGCCCAACACTTGATAAGCTAAACAAAAAACAAGGTTTATGTATGTATGTATTGGTAAATATAATAATATGCATCCCAGCTGCAAAGCTGATGACTGGTTAGCCCAAATCTTTAGCAATGCGGAAGATAAGGATCCCCTCTCAATACTGGAAACCCTAACACATAGTTATGCCAGTTCTAAGCTCATTATAATGGAGTACTCAGATAGTATGGTGATGAGCGCTCTGGAAATAAACTGGACAAACTAGAGCTTGTTGGTTTTCTTCATATTCTGGCGATTTTATTGGTGATAAAGTTAAGACCTCACGTTTTTTAATCCCGGATTTTAGGAGCTAAATGCAATCAAATCCCTCAAAAACAATGTCGAATGGAAAGGAACCATTCCAGACAGGGTCTTTCTTGCGCTCTCTTCCTTAGGAAGCTGGGCATCTGTACAGTGTCTGTCCTGTGTCAGAGAAAGTCCTCGCCAGGGGCTCAGGGCGGTGGGCTTGATCTCCTTTGCCAGAGAGTTGGCTTGTGAGCGCCCCTCTGCTGAGCGCGCTGCGCTGTTCATAACTTGGTGCCAGCCGGGAAGGATCCGCTATTTCTAGCAGCCACTAACCAGCCTCCTGCTTCCTGAGCCTCATTCTAAACCATCTGTAGCTGCCTGCTTTTCCCCATAGGCTCTGTCCTTCCTCCAGCCTCCGACATTTTCACACACACACACACACACACACACACACACACAGAGAGAGAGAGAGAGAGAGAGAGAGAGAAAGAAAGGCAGGGGGAGCAGAACCCGGCCAAACCCCAGCTCCCTGCTGATGCCGCAGAATAATGAGGGGGGAGGATGGATGGGTGACATGAAAGACTATGGAGAGAGTGGAAAGAAAATCCATAACTCATCAGAATAATGAACAGCAAGGATGGTGCCTGTGAGCCACCTCTTCGTTTGCCCTGCACCGAAGCAGCTTCTACAGACTTAGTGAGGGCCTCGTCCTTTTATTATTAATTATTATTATTATTTTATTATCGTCCTCCCCCCCTTTCCCTCAGCCAGCAGTCTGCACTGTATTACATGCCTCTGTTCAGGTCTTACAGGGAATCACTTCCATTTCCAAGGAACCCAGACAAACGGTGCGTGTGGTTTCTACAAGGCCACGGTCTCCGATTGTTTCAAATCAGTGCAAAACGCAAGGGTGCATCGTCCCCACTCCCCTGCCCAGAAGAGACCCTGCCTTAAGGGAGCCAGAGGAGAAGGTCAAGAGGAAAGGTACGATCCCCCCGCCATCCCCAGCAGCCCCCCAAACACATCTGCAAACGATATTCCCCCTCCTTTCCCCCAATATGGTAGGAACCCCCCGCCCGGACGGATCAGGATTCCTTGATGCAGCCGATGCCCAGCAGCAGCAGCATCGCTCCACAGAGCCACAGCCCAGGAGCCAATATCTGGGGAGTCCAGTGGAGCCACCGTGCTCCCTTTCCCCACCCCTTTGTGCATCACTGGAGAGGAGCGACACTCGCTCGGACCCCACCTTGCAGCTCAGCCCCCGGGCCACCGCGGCTGACCCCCCGCCCCGCTACACACACACCCCTTCCCTCCCCACCCCCCGTGTGAGTGCATTTGCAGTTGTACTCCCTCTCCCCCCCCGTCCCCCCCCCCACCCTCTCTAAACCAGGCACCAGGATACAGCAGACATGTTGGTGCCATTTAACAAGGTTCAGGTTCAAAATAATGATAAAAAACACCACAGCGGTCTGGCTTACCCACCCCCGCCTGGCTGCGTGTGCTTGGCACTGAGCGATCCCGGGGAAGGGCTCGTGCAGCTGGTCCCTAGCGGAGCTGGTTTGCTGCCATCCGCCCAACTTCAGCACCCAGCCTGCAGGGAGAGAGAGCGGGGAGGGAGGAGAAGGGAGGCAGGGAGCGAGCGCACATGCGCCCTGCCACTCGCGCTGGACCCGGCCGAGCAGCTGGAGTTTCCCCGCTTCTCCCCGGCGTGACTCACTCCCAGTCCCCTGCCTCCGCTTCCTCCCCGGGGAGCTTGCCCGCAGCGGGCTGGCGGAGAGCAAGGGGCCAGGCAAAGAGCCCCGAGGAGGGAGTGGTCCCCAGGGGATGCACTGGGAGAGCCGGTGCTCGTGGTCCTAGGGCTCTAGGAATGAGTCTCCAGCCAAACATGGCTGCTTTGGGGAGGGAGACTCGATGTCTGGCGATGGGTTTTTAAATCACCTGGCTCTGGGGAGGAGTGAGCTGGGGCTGTGTGCCAGAGGGGCGCTGGCCACCTCACTCATTCCAGCTGTGCTTTGTGCGGAGAGCAGGGGCAGCTTGGGACAGGCGCCTCCTTTTCTGGTTCTGAAATGGAAATAAATGTCATGGATAAATGCCGAAGTTAATAGTCCCACTATAAAAAATAACACCTCAGCCACCTTGTGTCCCATGGATAAATACAGCCAGAGGGGGGAAAGGTAACAGCTAGCTCCATCTGGATCCTGCTTGTTTTTGTACCTTAACCTCCAAATTGGACTAGGCACAGTGACAAAAGGTCGAGCTGCTCCGGCTGCACACACAGAAAAGACCACCCAGACCCTGATGCAGCCCAATGCAAGTGACACAAAAATATCTGGATAACTTTTGAATCCCATGCACCCAAGTTCTGATGCCTCAATAGACAACCAGTGTGGGTGCTCCAAGTGCAAAGACAAAACCAAGACCATGATTCACCCTGTGGAACAGTGATACAAAAATCTGGACCCTGCCAACTTTTTGCCAAACTTTCAAATTCCACTGCCTAAACAGAGGACACATTTAGTCATTTTTGCTGCACCTTACAAAATCCGGCCCCTGATGTGTTCCAGTGCAATAGCCCCACAATAGCTCAGAGCTGACAACTAGATCCTACTGAATCTTGTCACAAATCCAGAAATTCTAACATCAAAATTGAAAACAAGTGTTCTTTCTACTAGCCAACCAAAACAAACTGTTCCCCAACACATTATGGTATAAGGAAAGTGTAAAACCTTTAATTTGGCACCTGTACCCTGCTGGATCCAGGTAATTTTTGGTTGCATATCTCTCACACAGACACCCCTCCCCCAGCTTCCCAGTTTTAATGCCTATGCAGCTTTTCTGAGTCCATCAGATAATCTAGATCCCAAAGTCTTGTGGTGGAACAGTGTTAAAAATACTGGTGAGGTCTTAACACAGCTGAAATAAAGGAAAGGTAAGCAGCCCAGGAGGACTAGCCTCACAATAGCATAAGCATCAAACACTTTGTTTCCTTTTACAATAAAAAACTGACTAACTATAGCCAAATTACAGATTAAATCTACAACTATAGTAATCATATGCCTCTGTTCCTGAATTCTGGGAAGAGGCACTTCAAGCTCCTAATGATGAGGGCTGAAGTTAATCAGAGTCAATGCTCAGCACCTTTAAAATCAGGCCACTTAGACGCCTAAATAAGGATGCAGGCACCTAACTTTATGTATTTACATTTGACAATTTTGGCCTACATTAAAACAAAACAAACAAACAAAGTACCCAAACAAGCAGAAAAGCTGATATTTGAAGTGTCCTGGTTACTGCGTGTGCTCCAAATCCAACTGCAATGGTCAGAAGGAAGAAAGGGGCAGGTGAAGCCACACCCTTTTTATACCTTAAGATTCATGACTAGGGGGTGGAACAAGAGTCACTACTTTTGCGAAGATGATGAGTTTGTGCATTGGGATTTGCTTATTCTTAAGAGTGGGGATCCATATGGAAAATTCAGGAAGGAGAAGATAGCTTTACTACTCAAAATAAGTGTGTGTTTGTGTGCACGGACAAGTGTGCAAGTGATGGGAGAGTGAAGAGGAGGTTGATTAGAATATGTATTTTCCTATGACAACACCTACTCATTTCTCACTAATCCCATGTTTAGGGAACTTTAGCTGAGTATATTCTTCAGAACACCAGTACCAACAGGATTTGCCAATTGTGGATTCTTTCTCCTCCACCATGAAGTCCCTTGAACAGAGAATGGGGATTTTCTTACTTGCTGTTTTGACCTATATATATATATATATATATTGCACATTTTAGGAGGGAAATGTAAGTTTCATTACGTTTTGGGAGTCAATAGGATTGACAGTACTAGTGAGCGGCAAAGGATGATGGGACAGTGGGAACTGTCTGCATTCCATATTTGTTCATATTCAGGATTCTTAAAGTGAGAGTAGGTGAATCTGTATAATTTTCATAAAGAAAGTAATATTGTTTTGGGGGTGTTTGCTGGATTCCATTGAAGCATATGTTCAACTGTAATGTTATTTTTAAATAAAAGCTTTTTTTAAGATCGTCCTATATTTTTTAATGAGCAACACAATTTTAAGGCTTCATTTTAGGAAAGCATCCTGTTTAGGAGAAACTCTTAAGCATATGCCTAACTTTGAAGTTAAGCATATCAAGATGCGTGTTGATAAGTTGGAGAGGGTTCAGAAAGAGCCACAAGAATAATTAACAGATCAGAAAATTTACCTTATAGTGATAGCCTCAATGAGCTCGATCTATTTAGCTTAACAAAGAGAAGGTTAAGGGATAGCTTGATTACAGTCTAGAAGTACTTACATAGGGAACAAATACTTAATAATGGGTTCTGCAGTTGAGCAGAGAAAGATATAACATGATCCAATGGCAGGAAGTTGAAGCTAGACAAATTCAGACTGGAACTAAGGTGTAAATTTTTAACAGTGAGAGTAATTAACCTTTGGAATAATTTAGCAAGGGCTGCCACCCAATCCCAGTCACTCCCAGGGCCTCTTCCAATGGCCCAGAATCATCAGCTTGCTGCACATGGCCAAGGAAAAGGGTCATCCTTCTCCAATGTCAGGGCAGGAACAGAAGTAATAGCCAGTGCAGAGGCCAGAGTGGTGGCTCTACACTCGTACACATTTCCCCTACTCAAAGCTACTCCTGTTAGGTGCTGAGCACCCTCAACTCCACTTTCAGTGGGAAAAGAGTGCTCAGCACCTGCCAGGAGCAGGCCCTGGGATTCAGTGCAATTAGACCATGCACATAGCTCTGCAATCCTCTACATTGCTGCCTGTCCTCACATGGCTGCATTTAAATTGATTAAGATGACAGAGATAGGATAGCTGTACTTTGTAAGGGCTAAAGGGAGTCTGCACAGCAGATTGTCCGCTCATCAATAACGCAGGACCACTGCCTAAAAAGGTTTACGCTTTAACTACTGTCGATCTTTGCCAAGACTGACCACGATCACAGGCAATTTTTAACTTAAGATTGGATGCTTGTCTACAATATATGATCTAGGAATTATTTTGGGGAAGTTCTATGATTTGTATTACAAGAGGTCAGATTAAGTAATCCCTTCTGGCCTGGGAAGCTACGAGTTCATTCTCTCGTCCACAGAAATCAACGAGACTTAAATGCATGTGATTTCCTGAACTGGAGCCTAAATCAGGTTTGCTTATGAGTTTCTCAGGAGGGGATCCCTGCTATGACAGGTATTTTGAAGCTATCAAAGCAAGGTTCCCCAGCTGCAGACTTGGCAGGCTCATAGTAGGTATGTGTGATGACAGAAGTTATGCCTTGGTGGAGGTGGTGGTCATGCAGAGGCAACACATGGGGGGCAGGGGTTGTGGGGTCATTCCCCCCCATTTGCACAGGTTGTCTCTGGGGTAATGGACAGTGGAGGGAAATGGAGGGGGAGCTTTTATCCACATATCTGCAGAGAAAACTTCCATGGCTTCAAGTTTTATATCTGGAAAATCTGAAGTGTTGACAGTTTTGGTGTGACTGAAATACTTCACCTTTCTATGTCTCCTTTTATGCCTCCCAGTCTCTAGCAAACCCATCCATCTGTATCTACCCTGGTTCCATGTACACATACCCTCACCTCCTGTGGTCTCCTGATCTTCCCTCCATACATCCCAGTCTTGTCCATTCACTCTCTTTATCTTACTTTAGATCACTGACTACTTATTTTCATGACTCTTGCAATCCCCTGCACTCCATTCCATGACTTCTCTTTCAGGCCCTCCTCTCACTTGTCCTCATTTCTATGTCCCCTCTTCCTTCCTCCTTTCATATCCTATCCAGTCCCACATACCTCAGTACCCTAAATCCCCTTCCATGACTCCCTTTCCAGGTTTGTGAAACATCTATGGGATTATTTTCTCTAACCCCCCCTCCCCCCCATAATCAGGGGTTTTGGTTTTTGAACTTCTGTGGCACTCTGAAGTATTCATACAAAGTATTTGATTTTCTTTTACATTTTAGAATTAGAAACATTTTAGTCAGTGAATGAAATATATTCTAAAAGGTTAAAAGGCAAATGATGAGAACACCCAAGTTATTGTTTTGTCTACTAGCCCTATTAGGAAGTAAAATAAATATAATCATCTTCAGTACCCCAAAAATGGCAAAGATCAATGATGATTATGCTAGAAAGACACCCGAAAAGACAAAATCTTGAACTGGATCAGAAAGCTGTGACCTTTGTTAATGCCCACAACACTGCTTTCAGTGTAGTATAAAATCAATAACTGAAAGAAATAATTGAAGCATGGACCGATTATATAACCTTACTTCTCTTTAATATTTGGGAGTAAGACACAGCATCACAACAGCTGAAAGATGCTAAAGTTGTAGATACCATCTACTAGCCAAAGGATTAAAGAAGAGCTGTGATAATTCCAAAAGTACCAGTATAGCCTTATTGTAAACTTCATGTAAAACATTGGTAGCTGGCATCTCAGGATGTTGCCCGTGACCTGTTTACATCTTGACACTGTTTTCAAGGATTATGGGTATTTTTCTGTCTGTCAATTTTATACTGCTTCCCATAACCAGAATATGTGAGCACCTTTCTTGTAAAATCAGTAGCAATCGTGGTGTTTCTAGCGGACTTCCTGGGGTTTCTGGCAATTCTCCCTTTATGGCATAAAAACTCTGCTTGAGATAGGAATTAGATTGTTTTAAAAATATGTATTAATCTGCTGGTTTGTTTCAGGCTTTTTTCTTTGTTGGGTGGAATTTTTAGGATAGAAAGGGCTGTCAGTGGGGTGAGCATCATTCTTGGACATTTTCTAAAGAACGTCACACTCTGGATTCACTTAATTTCCTCTGGAAGTCTGGGCAGGTTGTTTCTGGGTCAT